TAAAAAATAGAGAAGAAGGATATTTACCTGCACTTGGAAGATCTTTCTTTACTTTATCCTTCACACTGTGTATTTATTTAATTACACACTGTGTGATTAAACTTTTTAACATGCATTGAGTTATGGAGTAGCTGTTATATTGTCCACTGTCAGTGATCTGCAGGAAGACAAAACAAGGGAACTCAGAACACCCGGGTCTGAGGAATGTACCATACATTTCCTTCCAAATCCATTTAGGAAACTCACTGGATGGACTTTTTGCAATGAATTAGTAAAAAAAAAGTTTCACCAGCTCCATAATGAAGGCAGTCAATTTTTTAGGTTTTGTGGGTGGATATTTTTGCTTCTACAATTGAAGCATCTGTAATGTGTCTCTCTTCTGTATATTGCCTATTGTGTATGATAATGAGCAATTTCATGGTGCAGCCTTTGCCACCCAACTGTCCAACTATATTTCATGAAATGTGCTGAAAACTTAACATCAAGTCCTCTTCCCTCTCTAGAATTGGGCTGAAATTGGGCAGTGAGTTCAGAAAATATGACAAGAGGAAGAAAGAAAATAATCTGTATTATCTCTGTTTTCTTAAGAAATTAAGATTTTGAAGAAACAACATGAAATATGAGCTTGAGAACCATTCCCCATCACAAAGTCCACATAAAAGCTATTCAAAAGCAAGCCCAGAGGACACGTCCCCTGCCGGTCATCTGGAACTGGATAGCTCAGTGTGCGTGACTAGTTACTTCTAAAAATGTGCTGTCAGATATTTACCCAATGTGCCAGTTCTTTTGTGGGCTTGGCTCAGCTCTAAAATTAATGCATTTCATTTCCTTGGGAAGTACAAGAAATTCCAGAGTGATAACAGTATTGACTTTAAGGCGTTGACCAAGTTACCCTATAGCTGTGACAAGCAATAGCACAAAAAAGCATCAGGAGAAAATACTAAATGGAAACCTCTAAGAGTCCCCCAAGCAAAACCATGGCTAAGATGGGCTAGACAGCCTTGGCATATTCAGAATACTTGCTATAAATCTCATTCACTCAGTACTGAGACATCAGTTCAAACAATACAGCTCAGAAGGGCATTGCTATCCACTCAGTCCTTGGCAGTGGGAGCATGGGAGGTAGATGGGTGGGTGAGAGGGGATTCAGGCATTACAGCTCCTTGAGCTAACACTTGTCCAACAACAGGCTGTCAATTAAAGACTATTGCAGCAGGACACAGAAGAATTTTTCTCTTCTGTGTTTAAAAAGTCAATTTATAATCCCATAAAAATGAATCTGGTCTAAAAAGAAGAAAATTTTGCTCTTTCTCTTGCTGTATACACAAGATAAATACTTCTGAACTTAGGGGAAGTCAGAGAATTGTGTAAAGACCAGACTTCCTGCATGAAGCTGCTTAAAGACAAAATGGCATATTTGACTTCATGAGCTCTTCTACACTGATCAATAAATGCTAAAGAAAGTTTTATTTACCGCAGTTTAACAACTCCTTAATGAGTTACTATGCTATTTGAACCCTTTTCTGTAGACATTTAATGGTCAGATGGTATCATGCTAAAGAGGATTTTCCAGTCTAACAGCTACATCTTGCCATATGTATTTTTAAATGTTTATAAATAGATACTTCAGTGTCTAGAGTACAGGACATTTCTTTAGCTGACTGGTCAGAAGCTGGGCTGGTCTAGTAGCAACCAACAGCCATCCCTGGCCTGCAATCCTTCAGTGGCTTGTGTGAACTCATTTGATGTACTCAACAGAAGTAGCTCCCACCGGGCAAAAGGCCAAGTTGCAAAAGCATCACATTTTGTACTAATCAGCTACCTCCTTGCTATGGTCCTGGCTGGCAAACTCTGTGCACTGAAGTCCCATTAACTTTAAACTTAGCTCCCTAAAGAGCATAGCAGGACTGGTAGTGGTAAACATGACACCAAAAATAAATGGGAACAGAACCTGTACTGCCCAGAGAAATTATTCCTTTACATGGAAGTTCAAGCCTTCTGGTGCTAAATTATCAGAAGGCTCTATCTGTTCAGCCCCCTTTAGATGCAAAATTAATGCTGCCTTTGAGAGCATTAATTAATTCAAATTCACATTTTCCAAGCCCTGAACTCTGCCACCGTTTTTTTCTATCCACTTAATAGATTACAATATTAACTGGAAGTCAAAGTACAGTGTCCAAAATATAAACTTATTTCTTTAAAATTACTTGTCAGCCAGAGGAAATCTTTCCTTCTTTGCTGTACACTGACAAGAGTCAATGTCTGCATGTTCCCTATGAGGCTGGTTAAACTCACAGAGCTCTTTCTTTCTGCACTATTTCCAGATTCCCTGCAGTTAGCCAGCCCTTTTCATACCTACCCTAGTACCCCCCCCCAACATTGTTAATGTTTAGAATTACTTTGACCCTTCCATGAATGAGGGCAGTTGTTTTGTACTTAGAAACATGTCATTTGTGGTCCTCCCTTCCTCTCTTCCATACTCTGGTGGCTGTACAGAGGTTTTGTACATTAACCTCTAACATGTATTGAGTGTCACTGCTGTTACACTGACAGCTATCAATCCTGTGAGCTCATCAATGCCTGTCATTCCATGTGCATGCCACTTTCAGAGCTTTTGACTCATGCAAAGCTTGAGGAGGGCTGTGCATCCTGCTATCTTCCTACAGAAAACGGTGCTCTTTGCTCCCCAAAGCACACTGGAACACAGTAAAGTGCCACGTGTGCAACAAACATAGGCCTGGGTGTCCCCTGAAAGGAGTGTGGGAAGTTGTGCTGGGGTCTTTTTCCCCAGAAGTGGAAGGAGGATGCTTTGGAGACCACCATTGCACACTGCAGCCTCCGTGAAGAGCTGATGTTTCCGAGGGATAGGAACTGCCTGCAGAGTGGTCAGAGGAAGGTAAGAAAGGCTGATAAGGGCAAAGAAGAACCCCTTCCTCTACCCACCATCCTCTGAAGTCCCCTGATCCCATTCAGAGGGTTTGGTAGTGCCATGGTGCTAAATAACATGTGATAACTTTTTTTGTAGCAATATTGAGAAACATTCAGATGGTGTTGCCTGTCACTGAAATACACCTAAAGCAATCTAAAATACAGAGAAACGTCAGAGTGACCTGTCATTTGAAGCCACATCAGCACCCTTTTAGAGAATAGTATGCAAAGATCTAGACATTTTTCCCCTCACTCAATAAACAAACTGAATTAACAGTGCACTGCCACAGCCAAAATCACATGCTAGAGTTGAGAACTACTGAATAATAGCTTGGGATATCATGGATCAATAAACTTTAGTTTCACAAGGTTGATTTTACCAGAGCACCAAGTTTACCGTGCAGGGAAACTCATCATTTTAATAACCATTACTGGTCATCTCAAAATCTTTCCTTTACAGAAAGCAATGGCATCTCTAATGAGAAAGTGCTCCAGCACCTCAGGCTCACTACCAGCTCCATTACCAACCCTTTCTGATGCATGTTTTTCTGTGGTCTTGCTTTTATGCAGACAAATCATGAAGAAAGAAAGACTGTCCGAGTATTTTCAGTTACGGCATTCTTTGTTTTAGTGATTACATGTGAAGGAATAATTATCCTGGCACTACTGAGCAGAGCATAGGCTAGGAGCTTTTTATTTGCCAGTTATTGTTTGTATTATAAATGCTAAAGTGAAATGACGCAAGTGCTCTTTTCGTTGTCATATTGTTTGCTTTAGCTTTCATTGGATCCAATCCAACAGCACCTTTACGTAGGCTCCTGTATAATTAAGATAGTGTGCACAGCCTCTAAAAGGAAATCATTAAGAGCCTCTTGTGGAGAATGCATTGATTTCCATGTCTGTGCCTTTTAAGTGGGTATAGCTCACACTCCATCGATTAACTACTTGATAGTCCAGATATACTTCAAATATTAATCCCATCTTAAGCTTCCAAAGCAGCTATCAGCTGAAAAAGCTCAAACCGGTTTGTAGGCTGCTTCTGCATTGAAACAGCCCTGTCTCTTAGGCTACACCTCACTCTGGAGGATATTCCTCTCTTCTGGATCTAAGGGGGCGGTCAAAAGAACACTAAAATTAAGCCACACTTGTGATATGAGGGAAAAGCTCTGCTACTGCTGTGCTCACCTGCCCATGAGTTCAAGCTGAGGATGATTTCTTTCATCTTTAAAACCTATCAAAAATTTGTAGACCCCAGGGGAGATTTGACATCTGAAACTGGTTACTGAAGTAAAAAAAAAAATCAAAATACGACATACAGTTACTATATGCATGTTTTTAGGTGATCAGTGCAGCACAGTAAAAATGGTTATTGAATAGGTATTTGCTAAATTCTTAAATCTGCAATTTAAGACTAAATATTAAGTGTGTTAAACCAGGAATTGCTTGACCCAACATGTTTCAACTAAAATTGTATCAAAGTAATTATAAAACCTGATTAAACAAGGCTTCATTCCCACATGCAACTCCACCTTACTGCCTTGGCAAAGCTGTAAGCTGGTAACACCCTTTCACTGGTTTTCACAAAGCACATTAGCAATTAATGAAAGCAGAGTGGAGGAGTTCATGTTTATTTCCAACACGCTGATGGTGTTTAGGGAATCAGTGCTCTCTGACCAAGGGTGGTGGTTCCAAAAGCACTTTGAAGCAGTTCCTGTTTTCTGTCTGACTTCAAAGGCAGCAGAGTCAGTCCAGTGCTGAGGACCTGTGCCAGTCACAGCTGTAACACCAGAGCATAAACCTAAACCACCCTCCTCATCCTCTCCTGCCAAGCAAGACCTGATTTGCTTCACAAAAAGTCCTAGTGCTCTCAGTAGCAAAGTTCTGATAAAGTATTCCCAATTCAGAAGACAATTAGAAGAGCAAGTAAATAACTCTAAAGATAACTAGTTTTCACAAAGTCCAACCTGCAGCCATTCACAAGTCTTTTGTGCATTGATGTGATCCTAATACATCGGCTTTTGAATGTAAATTCGTTGATAGGAATGACACTGTGAACAAATCCATCATCTGAGTTTACTGCTTGTTGGAAAATTTAATACTGAGCATTCGACAGAGTGAGCTTCCAGCTGAGCTCATACTCACCCCCAAGTAGACTGTATATGAGGTTTCAAAAACTGTGATTAAAGTAACTGAAATAAAGTAGTTTAAAACTCCATCCAAATAGGCTTCATCTGTACCATCAAGGACCAGCTGAACAATCTAATTTCAATTGTATTCCAACCTCTCACCCACTTCTGGAAAACAGCAAACATTTCTTCCACCCCCAGCCTTTGCAAACTTTCCATGCTTCTTCTATTTAAATGAAGAAAGAAGAATGCACAACATTTTTTCAGACTACTCACAATATCCCAGCCTCAGGAATTTATCTTCATATAAAGCCACCACGGCTGCAGTGCATTACCCGAGTATTTTTTACCCTTGGCTAACACATAGGAAACAGAGAAAGGAGGTGAATGACAGCATGCCCTCTTATTTATCACAAAAATAAGCTACTATAAAACATTTTGCAAGAGTACATTAAATACAGCTGAATTCTTGAGTCTCCTTTCTTGACTGCTTGAGTTTTGTGATATGTATGGGATTTTAAGTAATTTGGCATTTCCAAACAGTTAGCTCTTGGGACAGCATTCTGCAGTGCTCCAGAGGCTTCAGGGACTGTCCTGTACCAGTTTCCAAGGGACGTTATGCATGCTGGTGCTCCAGAAGGATTTTGGCAAGGAGGGCTTGTCCTTAGGCACAGGTGAGCTTCAGTCTTGTAATGAGCAGGGGCAAAAACATCTCAGAGCTCTGGGCACACTCTTCAGCATAAGGCAGCTTCAGAGAAAAACCAGTAAAGTTGTTCAGGTTAGCCTATGACCTGGAACTTACAAAACACCATAGGAACCCTGGTGGAGTAGTGGCGTCTTCAGGAAACTGATATATTATTACTGTCTCCCAACAACAGATAACAAACCTTTATTAGAAATCTAAACAGCATGAATACAGTGAACAACTACTGGAGCATCATTGCTGTTCCTGACTGGCAGTGGCAAGCTGCCATACCTAGGAGGATATAGCACCCCATTAGGGGTACTTTTAGCAGGTGTAAAATGTACCAGGTGACTTGATTTCTGCTCTTGCTTTTCTCTAAGAAATATACTAAAGTAATTAAAAATCAAGTATAAGTCCTTTCTGCCAGATCTGCAGCGGACCAAGTTACTGCAGCTATGATTGCTCCCCAGAGAGAAAATACCACGTGCTTGCTCCTGAATTTTAAACTATTCGATGAGGACTACCAAACCTTTAAATTATGCAGATCCAGAATATTTTTTTTCAATAAAGCAAAAGGAAGGAGGGAAATCAGTAAGCTAAGTCCTTTTAAAAATGGTGCAGAATTCGCTCTCTTGAAGAGACACTGGATGTGGGCAGCAATCTGGCAAATGTCACAGGTTCTACATAAATCTCACAAACCAGTGCCCCCCCATCTTTATTTGTATCCGTGGCACCCTAGCTCAGGCGCTGGCCTCTCCCCATTGTCACCAAGCAGTAGCTCTGGCCCCAGGTGTCAGTAAACCTGATGTTTCGACCAGAAACACTTAAGGCTTTGAAGGGAGAAAGTAACTGTTTTCAGATACCTGAAAAATTGTGCCAGAAGAGGAGAAGGATGTTCAGAGTGCAAGAGTTTGTTTCCTTGTATCACAAGCCAAAATACTGTCATAAACCAGTACTATTTGAGAAAAACATTAACTTTTAATTTTCGCTAATTAGCTATTTCCATGATTAAAATGTTAGTAAAGCTTCAGTAATAAATTGCTGAAGCTGTGAAGTCAGATGCATGCTCATTAGCACAGATGTTTAACTCAGCCTCTTATTCTCTTGTTTGTTAGTAAAAAATGTGAAAATACAGAAATCAAAGCTATTGATTCAAAATTACTGCCCATTATAAGGGAGTTCTAGTCACACAGTTTACAATACTAAGTAGAAATAGTCAGCACCTTTCTAGTAACTTTAGAGAGTTAAGGTACGTAATCTACTGGCATAACAGCTTTCTTCCCAGGTGGAAAATGCTTCCTGACTCATGGACCATGCACAGCTGCTTTTTGTCCTGTGCTGTGACCTGTCTGGGATATGAAGTAGCTGTTGTAGCAGCAGGCACAGCTGCACTAGGTCTGAATGCTCCCACCATGAACTCTAAAGCTGACACTCATGCAGTAGAAAAAGCACAGAACACGAAAATCTTTGGCACAGGGCAAGTCAATCGGCCTGCATGCCAGAGAGCAGGCTGGACGCCGCTCCCAACTGTGTGTGAAAGCATTTGCAAGCAGAGATGTTCCTGCATTTCCAACTGCTCCTGCAACAGGAAATTAGTGAAAAAAAAAATAATAAAATAGATTAGTTTTGTATTTGGAAGCCAAAGGCAAACAGTTGAGATCGTGGGGTCTCCATGAACATCAACTGGTGATCACACCCAGGAGTCACTGCATTGCAGCTCTGTCGTGAGCAAACCTCCACAGCTATATCTGACCCTACAAGGAGAGGCTGAAGAGCTGCCCTGTCAAATGGGAGAGAGTTGCACTCATTTTCTTTCACATTTTGTGCAACAGAGCCCAAACCTTTTCATTTGGTTCGGTGTTAGGACACCGAAGTCCTATCCCTCTATTCTGACGAAGGGCAATGGGTTATTTTCTATTTTATGCATGGACTTTTTTTCCCAGCAGAACTGCTGGGGAAATAGAACAATCAAACAAACCAACCCCAAACCAGGGGGGGGAAAAAAAAAAGAAAAGAAAAAAGCCCAACTCCAAACCTAAAGTACATTATTTTTTAAAGTTCATATTTCTGAGTATTTACACCTAGTTCCTGTATTTGTAATGGTGATAATTCCTTATGGGCTTAATATAAGGGATACACCATCCAGTGATTATGAGATCATAGCATCCTGCCAGGTATATACAAACCATGTTTTATAGCTGAATAAGTGGTGAAATGCCCCCAAGAACTTAAGAACATGAAACTGGAGTTCTGAGCTTAACCTGCTTATCATGCTGCTCTTACATCTTCAATCTCTGAAAGTCCCTCCGATGAGAACAAATCCCAGAATAGCTCCTGCAGAGTGCAGTGGCTGCTGAGCACAAGGACATCATGCTCTGTGGCTGCCCAAACCAAGATCTTAGCACATCAAAATATGCAGCTAGGAGAAAGGACATGGAGGACATTTTTCAGTATTACTCTGGAAAAGGAGTTTTAAAGCTGCCAGTGTTATTACTGCTCCATCAATCACTAGTATCACCTTGGGCTCAGTTTATAAAAGAACAAACCAGCCCTTCCCCCCTTTTATTTTTTACACAATACACAATACAAAAATTAAGTGTGCTGTGATAACGACAACAGCACCACATACAGTCCTGGTTCCAGCTGGGACAGAATTAAATCCCTTCCTAGTTAGTTGCCGGCTGGGGTTAAACTACGACACATGCTCATAAAAAGATAGCATGGTATTAAAATGAAGACTCCAGCCCTTTCTTGCATTCAGAAGGAAAAAGTGATAGAAATGGATTTTAATTATTAACTTGGGTTAGCTATCACAGTACCTGAGAAACTGCCATATGGAACATATTCCAATAGAGTTTCTACTCTTAATGGCCTTGAGCCTTCCAAGAAACAAATTTTGTGTTACATAAACTGATATCAAAGTGGCCTTGCTTTTCCCTTCCCCTGCAGCTACAAATACATCAGCCGCGCATGAGCCATTAATGTACAGTTAAAGTGTCCAGTAAAACCTTTAGTGAAACATACTGTGGTTACTTGAAGTAAGAATTTGGATGGAATAAGATGTAAAGTAGGGAGACCTGAAGGAGAAATTCCAGCTATGTTACCCTCCCACTTTAATTTCTTCTCAACAAAGCTCCTGCTGTGACTATGCTTTAGACCACAGTGTGAAGGATGCAAGACACGAAGAACTGTGCTATTTAGCCCTTTAATTATTGAACTCAGCTATCCCTAAAAAGATTACTGTGCCATGAAAAGATGGCACAGATATCTCCTTTATATTTTGCACACTGGGAAGAAGAAACAAAAATCAGCTCCAATAGAAGCCATATGAACAGCAATAACACTATTGTACAGTCTCTGTGATCTGGTATCAAGTTTCTATCGCTATTTTTCAGATTTTATTTTGGAAGCACGATTTCTGGTGCTTGTAGACACATTTCCTTTCCTCCTCCAGAAACTCTATAAATAATGGTATATATTTATATGAAAGCATCACAATTAAAATACCAGAAACTGATTTCCTGCTTCTACAAAGAGGAGTGTGTATGGGCAGACCAAGGCAGAGTTTCCAGAAATGCTTGTGAAAGCCTAAAGATCAGTGTCCTCTGATTTTGAGAGAGAGATGTGTTCGAGGAGAAAAGTACTAAGAGCACAAGTGAAATGATTCTTCAGGCTGCAGTGTGGCTTCAGGAGATGTTGTTTCAATTCCTCTTCTATATTACTTCAGTAAAATACGTGAGGAGGTTTCACAGTCACAGAAAGCGGAGGTATATAACCACACATACAGTTTTGGTTAATAAAAGTGCATGATGGATGCAAGTGGATCCAAATTCGAGCTACTATGCTCTGAGATATCCAGTGTGCAGACAGCTATAGGGAACGGCTTTGCTCTGTGCCTTCCAGTCAATTATAGTGTCAACAAATGCAAGAACTCATTGTTTCTTCAACCTCATTTTGCTTGGAAAGGGGCAATATTCCCCACTATTTTTCTCTGCGAAACAAGTAAGGGCATTTCAGAAAAGGGCAGCTAAAACAGATGTCATAGGATATTTGTCCAATTTCATGCTCAGATTGACTCTAAGAAAGGTATGTTGTATACCAAACACATCCTGTGTGAGGCCAGAATTAGCCATAGAATAGTGGAATACAGCAACTCGGTAACAGGCTCAGTGTCCCACATTTGCTTCTGAATAATCACCATTTGAGGAAAAGCTAAGATGCAAGATAGCAACAAACCTTCTAGGTTCACACACACTTAACGCATGCACACGAACGCACAATTGCAAACAAGTCTTGAACAGAATAGCACTGACCTGACTTTTCTTTTTTTCAGAGAGCCCTTACATCTCATAAACCAGGCTCTTCTCAGGACTGTCTGCCCCCTCCAAAAGAGCATCTGGATCAGTTCAACCTAGAAAGAAAAGGGAGAAAATAAGGGAGGAAAATAACCCCTATGTCATTCTGAAGTTTGAGTAAGTATGAACATAGTTTCTGCTGGTTTATTTCTGTCAGATTTGGCTCTGTGATGGTTGGGTGCCTTCAACAGCTGTCTATTTGCACACAGTTGTGCAACCTTTGTTACAGCAGGTTAATTTAGGCTCAGGATTGCAGCATGTGGCTCCCTTCAGACATAACTAACTTAAAATAACAAAACACACAAAAAAATCCTGCTTAAGAAGCTCAAGGTCATTTGTTTAAACTTAGAAAAGGATCAGGAGCCTGTAATTCCAGGCATTGTTACAAAACGGGTGAAAAGTTTCCTTCATATTGCCTTGCCGGGTGTGCTCTGCAGCTGTATCCCATTGCAGAGCCACCACAAAAGCCAGCTTGCTGTGCGTATGCTGATTGCAAGGAAGACTTTTGCCACAGACATATTACAGCTGCACGTACTACACCTTAGAAGAGGGGTAAATGCATGAAAAGTGGTAACTAAAACACGATGCCCTTAAAAAAAACCAAAAAATTAAAACCACCAAATAAGTGAAGCAGGAGATCATTCATAGTTTCATAACCTGGTACTGTCACAATTTATAGATGTGTTAAAACTTGAAGAAAATGCCGTTTTACTTATCTTCAGCACCATAAAGGGAGAAATGCCAGGGGGATGACAGTCATGAAAAGTTTTCTGAAAAGATCAAAATGCAGCCCCTGAAGGGCTTTTCTGTAGCTGAATGATGAGAACAACTGTATACACAGTGCATAGGAGTCAGCAATGAGCTGTTAGAGCAGAGTGCCAGACAGAGAGACAAAGCAGCAGAAAAGTGCAGGAATGGCAGGACTGATGTAAGGTTTTTGTGGTAACAAAGTGCAATTTCATGCTGTGTAGCTGATAGAAACAAGGTAGATCTTAGAGATGCTTTGATTTGGTAAACAGTTCTTTGCTAAGCAAGCTACAAGGGTACTCAAGGCAAGTTTGGGCAGGCACCTTAGTGAAAGAGGGACAGGGATGCATTAAGTACTGCTCCCTTGCCTGGGAGAATAACCTCAGTTTCAAGATAGATAGTGAGTGACAGAGTAAGAGCAAGCATTTCTGAGAAGTCTCATAAGCAAAGCATCAAAAGGCATTTGCTTTGACTTTCTGTTTCCCTTTAATGGCTGTAGGCTGAATGTATTATTTCCAATCAGTCTCTCATGCTATTTTTACCCCCATGTATGGACATCACATCTCTTTTCTTCAACTCAGGCCTTTGGAGTTCTTCCAGTGTTGTGATGAAGCAGAGACTATTACACTTTTTATATTTAGCTACTGTAGATTCAAGTCAAATATTTCTGATTCTCAAGAATGGATATTTTGAACCCAGACCCACAGCAGGCTGTTTAAAAATTATTTGGGTTAGATAGAAAACTATCAAGCACTATTGCTAATACAAGGGCATATTTCTCTCCACCTATTCTGACTACCAGATTGTCTAAGGGACAAGAAACTTGAGAATTTAACCCTGTAGTTCACCCAGAATGTTAAAAAAATTTGCTTTTCAAAGAGTGAACTTGAGGTCTGATGATAGAAGAAAATTTCAGCTGAGCTGTCTAGTAGCTTCTAATTAAAAGAAGAGATACATCTCACGTATCAATATTTCATTGCTCCAAATGGCAATGAACTATGATAAAAAGGAGGTGTAATGGTATTTTCAGGTGCAAATTCATCGCTCAGAGAAATGCCAAGTTGCAATGTTTATCTCTGCAAAATGCCAAGGACGCTTTTCCATTGTATGGTAAGTAACTACATTATCTTGCAAATCACATCATCTCCAGGGCTTTCTGTATTATAGCCCTAACTCATCTCACAGTTTACTTGAGCATTATGATGACAGCCTCAGTTAGATTGTGCTGGGGCTTGTAGGGTGGCTGCTCCGCTTGATGATACAGGTGGTGCTCAGCTATGGGAATGGAATTTGCAAGCCTGAACTGAGTGCTTGCATCCTCTGTGCAGTGAAAGGCTTCAACACCTGTGGCTACCATGCACGTCTATGTGGAAGAATGCCTGAAAAGTTTCTTCAGACTTTAACACCGTTCAAATACCAAATTATGGACCAAATCTACTTCGGAATGAAACGTCTACATCATTCTTCAGGAAAGAACAAAATTACACTCGATACCACAGCAGCAACACAGGGCACAAGAGGTAGACTCAGTCTACTTTGTACAAACATGGGATGGACCTCCACTTTCCCAGCTCTCATGCAAAATGTGGAAGCAGATTCTGCGTGAGCAACCAGAAACAAGATCTTCATATGCCCCCTGGAGGAAATGATTTCCTGGCCCCATACGTATCTTCTTGGTACACCATGACCGGTCTTCACACAGAAAGGTAAAGGGCTCCCCTCAGCAGACAGATGACCTGCAGAGTTTAAGGTTTCCTGTCTAGGGTAAAATGTGACCTGCAGTTCCTTTTGGCTGTAGATGGTGCTGAGCTCATTTCTCACCTCCTAGCAAGGGCCTCCGGGCTATTTAATAACAATGCTCCCTCCTGCAACTTACTGTAATTTTCCATGACAGCAGGTCTGCAAGTTCTGTGCTTTTTGCTGACCTCCTTTTAATGACTTCATCTTACTCATGCTCACATCACATTCTGTAAATCAGCCCTGCAGGCAGGCTCTTCATGAGGAATCCCAGACAGCTTTACAAGGGGACAGGGTGCAGAGATGCTCACCCACAACTGCAGTGGCTCTGACCAGGCTGAGTGCAACTCCAGGAGCTTACAAAATCTTGTATGGCACAAACTTACACACCCGTGGATATCTGGGTAAGTGGTAAAGTAGAGGTCTTGGAGGCTGCTCTCAGATGCAGGTGGATATATTGCACACACACACACAATTTTTGCATTAGCCCTCTAGATCCTTTTCTGACTTCTAATATAAATTCTTTCGTACTAATTCTCCAGATCATTCAGAATAAGGTTTGCTGAAAGTGAAGAATCTTGTTCTAAGGGTAATTGCTGCAGATGACTGTGTACATCACAAATAGAAACATAGATACCATTCAGTCAGGAAGCCTAGCCTCTCCAAAGGGCATGAGGGACACAGGGAGGTGGAGGTTGGCATGTTTTCCATTAGGCTAAGCAGAACAGATTGCTAAAGCAGACTGTAATTTTTTTCAAACTAAATGCTTCCAATGGAAGCTTCTCTTGCCATCAGTGCTGAAATGCCAGTAGCCACAGAGCCCAGAGATGTGCCACAAGGCAGCAGGCAACGGGTCCTCCAAGCATGCAGCCCCAGGGGCACCGTGCAGGAGGGGCAGCTGCTCCTCTGGAGCAGTAACATGGCTGGCAGGGCCTCTCCCACTGTACCAGAGCAACGAGCAGGATGGCCCAGGGGCAGCCCCCAGCCCAGGCTGTCAGGCACCTTCAGAGGGATGAGGTAGGCTCAGGGAGAAGAGAGAGGAAAAAGTTGTTTGGTTAGCACACACAAGCAGATCTATCATTCCTTGGCACCAGCTGACTCCAAAACTGTTGAGGGAGCAGAGGGTCCATATAAAGCTGAGAAATGGGTGCCTTCAGAAGGTATGTTTTCCTGGTTAGCTTTCATGGCTGTGGTAGGGAGAACGTGGAAGAGACAAGAGAAGTGCAGTAAGCAGCAAGCTGGTAGACTAGAAATAGGAAGGTGGGAAGATTGGGATGGAAACAAGCAGCTGTGAATACAAGGAGGCATGAATGATTGACAAAAATCATGACTGCAATTTAAGAAACACAAAAACCTCAGTTACAAAGTGGAATACTTATAATTGGAAAAAATAAAATACCATTAGAAGTACACCACATCAGAAAAGGTTGTCAAACATCCATAATCCATTCCATTCAGCATTCTTAACTCAAAGGTAATCATAATTCTTGGCTCATTAGTCTTATGAGGTAAAGATTCAGGATTTCCTGACCCACTTTCTGATACCAGTACTATGACATCAACAATACTGCAGGATCACCTGGGTGATCACAGGGAGCAAACTTACAAAGTACAGGCACAGCACTCGTACAACATGAGCAAATAATTGTTCACAGTAGCTGGCAGGCAGCTTGGAAATGGGTTTATTTTTAGTCTACTAAGCTTTTCTTTTTCAAAGAGCAAACTTCACTTAAATATGTATCTTCTTTTCTTCATGAAAATCTAATTCCCTTTCCTGAAGGTATAACGTCATCGGCAGAGCAAAAGACCTCTAACGTTCAACATGTTTGAACATCAGCAACTGCCTACTGGTACTCTCCATCCATTAGTGGAGTTGAGCTGGTGCCACTACTGTCAGGGGTAACTTAGTTACAAGAACACCGACTTCTAAACCCTGCAGGAGAACAGGGCGACACTGAAGCTGTCAGCACAACACTGCATTCTCTAAGAAAACTGCCTGTTCCTTGGCAACTGGAAAAACAATCTCCCTCAATTAGCACACTTAGTCTGGTCCACATCTGCTGTTAAAACCTTAGAGGAAAGGCATTTGAGTCCTTTCAAATTGCCGATAATGAAATTACACAGACAAGAGATTAGATTGTTCATTTGGAAACCAGTTGAATTAATAGTGTGCACATTTTATTTATATCCTGAAGTCCTTGATTCAATAGTTTCATTTCCTCTGCTTCCATAGCATCTCTTGTTGTGCAGTTATGAAAAAGAAAATTAAAGAAATACTTGGAAAGTTTCTTCATTTAATTAAATGCAAAGTTCATAATACAACTGCTATAAAATATTCCTATTTGCTTATGTGTTGAATAAGAGTCATGTGTGGGAATAGGGTTAGGAACACTGATTGACAACCTTGTGTTCAAAGCTCATCTGGACAGAGCATTGAGTTTCATCCTCAGTGGACTTTTTTTTTTTTTCTTAAAAACAGATAGGGGATATTACTGTTTGTTCCTTGTGCTTTTTTCTCCCCTTACACATGTGAAATGTTTACACGCACTGTCACAGGCTGCTCTTTCCTTTT